GACCGAGTCTTGCTCTGTTGCCAGGCTGGAGCACAGCGGTGCGATCTTGGCTCACTACAATCTCCGCCTTCTGGGTTTAAGCGATTCTTCTGCCTCAGCCTCCAAAGTAGCTGGGACTATAGGCACATACCACCATGACAAGCTAATTTTTGTATTTTTAGTAGAGACAGGGTTTCACCATGTTGGCCAGGATGGTCTCAATCTCTTGACCTCGTGATCCGCCTACCTTGGCCTCCCAAAGTGCTCGGATTGCAGGCATAAGCCATCTGCCCAGCCATAGTTACACTATTTTACATTCCTACCAACAGTGTATGATGGTTCCCTTTTACCACATCCTTGTTATTGCCTGTTTTTTGGGTAAAAGCCATTTTAATTGGGGTGAGATAATATCTCATCGTAGTTTTATTTTGCATTTCTCTGATGATCAATGATATTGAACACTTTTTCATATGCCTGTTTGCCATTTGCATGACTTCTTTTGAGAAATGTCTATTGAGACCTTTTGCTCACTGTTTTATTAGATTGTTTTCACCACAAAGATGTTGAGCTCCTTCTATATTCTGGTTATTAATCCCTTGTCAGATGGATAGTTTGCAAACATTTCTCCCATTCTGTGGGTTGTCTCTTCATTTTGATGATTGTTTCCTTTGCATGTGGAATTTTTTTTGAGATGGAGTTTCACTCTGTCACCCAGGCTGGAGTGCAAGAGCACCACCTCAGCTCACTGTAACCTCCGCCTCCCTGGTTCAAATGATTCTCATGCCTCAGCCTCCCAAGCAGCTGGGATTATGGGTGTATGCCACCACACCTGGCTAATATTTGTATTTTTAGTAGAGATAGGATTTTACCAAGTTCGCCAGGCTGGTCTTAAACTCCTGACCTCAGGTGATCTGCCTGCCTCAGGTCCCAAAGTGCTGGGATTGTAAGCGTGAGCCACTGCACCTGGCCACTCTTAATTTAAAAAGGGTATTTTTGTGCTGGGCATGGTAGCTCACACCTGTAATCCCAGCACTTTGGGAGGCTAAGACAGGAGGACTTCTCAAGCCCAGGAGTTTAAGACCACTGGGCAACCAAGAGAGACCTTATCTCTAAAAAAATAAATAAATATAAATTTTAAAATGATGATCTAAGCTTAAGTTCCTCAACTGACTGTGCCCTATAGGGGGAACATCAGTCAATGTCTGGGTACACTTTTGGATGTCACAACTCAGAGGAAGGTATGCTACCGGCATTTAGTGAGTGGAAACCAAGGAGGCTGCTAAACATCCTGCAATACACAGGATAGGTCCCGCAGTAAAGAATCTTCCAGCCTAAAATGTCAGTGTCTGAGGTTGAGAAACCCTCTTCTAAGCTTGTGTTATCGATCTCAAGAGGTCTCCTAACTAACATTCCAGTTGTTTGTCAGTAAATGGATGGTACTATGGTGATGCAAAAGCTCTGTATTTTCTCAACTTCTTAAATTATTTCTTTCACATAGTCCTGCTTATACTATAGATGTACTGACCTCTTTAATTCAGAGAACAAAGAGGGTGAACCTTGTTCCTAGTCTAATTTACCTCCAAAATTATTAGGAAACTCAAATGTCGGGGACTGAGTTTATGAGGGTTTATTATACGAAATGATTAGCTCCTTTTTTTTTTTTTCTGAGACGGAGTTTCGTTCTTGTTGCCCGGACTGGAGTGCAGTGATGCGATCACAGCTCACCACAGCCTCTGCCTCCCAGCTTTAAGTAATTCTCCTGCCTCAGCCTCCTGAGTAGCTGGGATTACAGGCATGTACCACCATGCCCAGCTAATTTTGTATTTTTAGTAGAGATGGGATTTCTCCATGTTGTTCAGGCTGGTCTCGAACTCCTGACCCCTGGTGATCTGCCCAACTCGGCCTCCCAAAGTGTTGGGATTACAGCATGAGCCATGCTGCCCAGCCAATTAGCCCTTTTTAAAAAAATCTCTACATGGTGAGTCAGCTGTCCTAATCTCATAGCACAAGAAACAACAGCCCTAAATAAGAACTGTGTTATTAGAAATACTAGATTCCAAAGATAGTAATTAACCGGTCCTTCAGTCTACTGGTTCTTTGCTATATACCATCTAATTTTTAAAAAATCATTATATCCAGCCCTGCATAATATATCAGGAAGATGTAATTGTTTCTGATTAAAATACTAAATTTGATGAGGCATGGTGGCTCATGCTGATAATCCCAACATTTTGGGAGGTTGAAGTGGAAGGATCACTTGAAAACAACTTGGGCAGCATAGTGAGACCATGTCTCTACAAAAAGGAAAAAATGATCTGGGCATGGTGATGCATGCCTATAGTACTAGCTACTCATTGACTGAGATGGGAGAGAAGGGCTCGAGCTCAGGAGTTCAAGGACGCAGTCAGTTATGATTGTACCACTGCACTACTGTCTGAGTAATAGGGCAAGACCTTGTCTCTAAATAAATAAATAAATACAACACTAAATTTGGCTTCTTTTTTGTTTCCCTGTTCCTTAAAGGAAATTAAATGGATATAGAAAACACAGTGGAATGCCACAGAATCATTAGAGAAGTTACAGTGATGTAACATTTTAAGGGTACTAAATTTTATCCTTTTACAAACAACACAAAATAACCATTTAAGTATAGGTCCTGCCAAACATATGCTGAGGGATATGCAAAAACAAGTTTAAATTTATACATGGATTGTACAAAGTTTTTGAGGTTAAATATTTTAAGCTTATGGTCTTAAGTGGGTTAAATATTTTCCTGAAATAGTCTTCATACTGTTAATTTGTTTGGCCAGGTTAAACCTCTGCCATTCCTGTGGCACAATTACCATGAATTCTTTAACTTATGTGTTACGCTAAACAGACAGCCTAATGAATACTTACGGCTACTGATTGATTCTACAATAAATAATGGTAAAAAAAGAATTGTTATTACAATGCATTAATAAAATGACAAAACACCCAATTAAAAAATGGGCAAAGGGCCTAACAGACATTTTTCCAAAGAGGAAATACAAATGGCTGATAAGCGCGTGAAAAAATGCTCACTATCATTTGCTATCTGGGAAATGCAAATCAAAACCACCATGTGATACCACACCACACTCACTAGGAGGGACAGAAAATAACTTATGTTGGCAAGGATTTACAGAAATTGGAAGCCTCAGATATGGCTGGGGGTATAAAACGTAAAATGGTGCAGCTTCAGAAAACAAGCAGTTTCTCTTACAAGTTAAATGCCAAGAAGTGGAAACGACTGATGTTTATCAACTGATGCATGAATAAGTAAACTGTGGTGTACCCACACAATGGAATATTATTCCACAACGAAGAGGAAGGAAGTGCGGAAGTGTAACAACATGGATGAATCTTATGTCCAGTGACAGATACCAGTCACAGAGGACACATATGATTCCATTGCTATGAAAAGCCCAGCACAGGCCGGGTGCGGTGGCTTATGCCTGGAATCCCAGCACTTTGGGAGGCCGAGGTAAGCGGATCATGAGGTCAGGAGTATAAGATCAGCCTGGCCAACGTGGTGAAATCCCATCTCTACTCAAAATACAAAAATTAGCCGGGCATGGTGGCACATGCCTGTAATCCCAGCTGCTTGGGAGGCTGAGACAGCAGAATCGCTTGAGCCTGATAGGCGGAGGTTGTGGTGAGCTGAGATTGCGCCATTGCACTCTGGCCTGGGCAAAAGAGCAAGACTCTGTCTCAAAA